AATTAACCAGCAAAAATCAGAAGTGGGGCTGTGGCTCAAGTGGTAAAGTGCCAGCCTTCAGGGAAAATGTCAAGGGACAGCATCTGGGCCCTGAGTTTCAGGCCCCAGTACACACATGATTCATGCACATGAGAGAAAGGAGAGAGAGAGAGGCAGAGAGAGGCGGAGAACAAAACAATTGGAGCAGTACTTGGAACTTCACCCCTGGCCCATGGCAGTACTGTGCCCAACACTTTGACCTTAGCTTAAGACAAACCAGGTGAACTATGAATTTAAGAGAGCCATTTTTATTTATTTGTTTTTTGTGCCAGTCCTGGGGCTCGAACTCAGGGCCTGGGCACTGTCCCTGACCTTTTGCACTCAAGGCTGGATAGGGCTCTACTACTTGAGCCACAGCTCCACTTGTGGCTTTTTGGTGGCTCATTGAAGATCAGAATCTCACAGACTTTTCTGCTTGGGCTGGCTTTGAACTGCGATCCTCAGATCTCAGCCTCCTGAGTAGCTAGGGTCACAGGTGTGAGCCATCGGTGCCCAGCTCCCTCTACCCCTTTCATTGGAGGTAAAACTGAAGCCCTAGAGGAGTCAGGGACAGCAAGGAGGCTCCCAGTAGGGGTTTGTACCTGGTTCCCTAAACTCTAGAGGAGTGGGTAGTGGGGAGGTGGAGGGAAGGCCAAGGTCACCTTGAGGAAAACCCCAGGGGCAATGGCAGGGATGCCTGGAGCAAGGAGTAGAGAGGGCTGGCTCAGAGCCTTCATAGGGTGTGTGCGGAGGGAGAGCTGGGGGAGCCTCGGGGAAACTGAGGAAGACACAGGCGTGCACGTACACATACAGACATGTCCTGTCCAATATGGCAGACATCTGCTCTCAATGTCCCTGACTGTCACCTGTCCAGGCTTTGACCCCTAAAGCCCCAGTGAGAACAGGCTGGGGAAGAGAGAGGGAAGAAGAGAGGTGTGGGAGTCAGAGGGCTTTTCATTTCCTGGAGGAAGTTCCCGGTCTTGTTTGTATCCAAAGGATCAAAAAAGAGACAGGAGACAGATGGAAAGACTGACAGACAGACCGACAGACGGACAGACGACAGACTGAAAGACAGAGACACAGAGAGAAAAAGAATCAAGTACAGACAAGAATCAAATACAAGGACAGACAGACACACATAGCTAGAACCCTTGACAGCCCCCAGTACCAGCCCAGCCACATTCAGTCACCCCGTGGGGAAACTGAGGCCCTGAAAAACAATCCACCTCTGCCTGGGCTCCAGAGCTATGCTGAGCTTCCCATCTCCCCTTACCTGATCTCGGGGCCCCTTTTTCTCTAGAAAGCTCTCATAGTAGTGTGAAGGCGGGACTCCTTTGGGCTTGGGGACCCGGGGTGGGCCCAGGGCAGAGGCCATTTTGGACCCAGGGGGGTCCTGGCCCAGCCTCTCCTTCCAGAGGCGTCCCTCCACAGCTGGGCCAGGAAGCTGAGAAACTGGTTCCAGGGGAATTTCCTCTGGCTGTCAGCAATCACCTCCCTCTCCCTGCCAGTACTGGGCGGGGGCTGGGCCGGGGCAGATCCAGGAACCCAGGGCAAGTCCCAGCCTCTCTGGGCTCAAAGATAGGAGTGTGAGTGAGCATGCGTGGGGTAAGGTGCCATCCAAGGGTCAGGGGAATGGGGGAGGAGAGAGAAGAATGCAGGCACAGGGCAAATCCCCCATGGACACAACTCCAATGTTCCTCACAGCCAGCTCCTGTGTTATCTCTGTGGACAGCATGCTGGGATTCTGATAGGGACGGCTCTAAGTGTGCTGATCAATTTGGGCCTATTGATCCCATTCTCTTGAGGTGCTGAGGACAGAACTCGGGGCCTTGTGCAGGCTAGCAAGCACACTACCACTGAGCTAACACCCCAATTCTATATGCGGTATAGTTTGTTCACTGCTGTCTAAGCAGTTCACTATTTATTTATTTATTTATGTCAGTTGTGGGGCCTGAACTCTGGGCCTGGGCGCTGTCCCTTAGCTCCTCAGCTCAAGGCTAGCACTCTACCACTTGAGCCACAGAGCCACTTCCGGCTTTTTCTGCTTATGTGGTGCTGAGGAATCGAACCCAGGGCCTCATGCATGCAAGGCAAGCACTCTACCACTGAGCCACCTTCCCAGCCCCAGCAGTTCACTTTTTAAAGTAATCATAAAAGGTGCATTTAAACTGGGCATTGGTGGCTCACACCTGTAAGCCTAGTTATTCAGGAGGCTGAGATCTGAGGACTGTGGTTGGAAGCCAGCCCAGGCAGGAATGTCTGTGAGACTCTTATCTCCAATAAATTACTCAGAAAAAGGCAGAAGTGGCACTGTGGCTCAAGCAAAAGAAGCTTAGGACCAGTGCCCAGGCCCAGAGTTCAAGCCCCAGGACTGGCAATAAGTAAGTAAATAAATAAATGGTACATTTAGTCATTTATTTATTTTGATATGTGCTTATCCTGGGGCTTAGATTCAGGACCTAGATACTGTCCCTGAGTTTTTTGTTTGTTTGTTTTTCATTCAAAATAGCTCTCTACCACTTGAACCATAGCTCTGCTTCCAACCTTTTCCTGGTTAATTGGAAATCAGAGTCTCCTAGATTTTCTTTCCTGGGCTAGCTTTGAACTGTGATGCTTGGATTTCAGCCTCCAGAGTAGCCAAGGTTACAAGCATGAGACACCTGCTTCCTGGAATGGGACCAGGAGACTTGCTCAGCAAATTCTGTGCCACTTTATGATACTCTTGGCTTTTGGACTTCTCTGATTTTTATGTTTTGGTATCAACATAATAACACTAGCTCCTTGAACTGAGCAGGGATAGGTTCTAACTTCTGATTTCTAGGATAGATTATGCAAATTGGTATTACTTTATGTGTCCCTCTTTTCTTTGAAATTTTTTTTTTTTTTTTTTTGTGAAACTCTACGGGCCTGGAGATTTTTTTTTTTGCATTTAAAAATATTTTTTATTGTAAAGATACTGTACAGAGGGGTTACAGTTACATGAGTAAGGTAATGAGTACATTTCCTATGGAGCATAGTTAACCCCTCCTTTGTTTTTCTCCTACCATCCCTTCTCTCCCCACCTCCCCAACTTCTCCCTCCCCCCCAAGTTGTAAAGTTCCTTTTCAACATAGTGTCTTGTACATCTCATTGCTACAATAGGTCAATCTGTATCCTTGTTTCAGCATTTTGTTATTTCCCTTCCCCTCCCCAAATTAGAAAAAAATGTATATACAAGATGCAAGGCACCAGAATCAAACACAGTGAAAACAGGGGTTATACCATGGGGAAAGAATATACAAAAGAAACAAATCACATAGTACATTTTAAGTACATTAAAAACAATTGCAACAAAGATAAAACCTCTTGTGGGTTTGTTTTTTTTTTTTTGAGAAATTCTAAAATCACAGATTCAGCTAGGAGCTTGTTGGCACACTCCTGTAATCTTCCTTATTCAGGAGGCTGAGCTCTAAGGGTCAAGGTTTCAAGCCAGCCCAAGCAGGAAAGTCCTTATTGTTGTTGGCGGTGGTTGTGGAGTCTGAACTCTGGGCCTGGGCGCTGTTTCTCAGCAATTCAGCTCAAGGCTAGCGCTTTACCACTTGAGCCACAGGGCCAGTTCTGGCTTTTTTTTTTTTCCTGTTTATGTGGTGCTGAAGAATCAAACCCAGGGCCTGATGCATGCAAGCCAAGCACTCTACCATTGAGCCACCTTCCCAGCCCCTGTGAGACTTATCTCCAGTTAACCAGCAAAAAGCCAGAAGTGGATCTGTGGCTCAAGTGATACAGCACCAGCCTTGAGTATAAAAGCTCAGGGACAGCACCCAGGCCCTGAGTTCACATCCAAGTACTGGCATGTATGCATGCATGCACACACACACACACACGTACACACACTAGTTTGATATTGCTTACTTAGCCTGGAGTTAGAGGAAACCTGGGCAGCAGAGTGGCTCTCTTAAAAGGAGGCCTGGCCGGGCTGGGAAGGTGGCTCAGTGGTAGAGCACTTGCCTTGCATGCCTGAGGCCCTGGGTTCCATTCCTCAGCACCACATAAGCAAAAAGAAAAAAACCGGAAGTGGCGCTGTGGCTCAAGTGGTAGAGCGCTCACCTTGAGCTGAAGAGCTGAGGGACAGCGCCCAGGCCCAGAGTACAGGCCCCACGACAGGACCAAAAAAAAAAAAAAAAAAAAGGAGGCCTGGCCTAGAGAATACAATCAGTAATAATAACAATAAACATTACATTAATATTTGACAAACACGACAATTTAATCAACATTATTAACAACCCATTAATACATCCTTCATCATTGATAATGACATTTGATAAGAGTAACTAGCATCGCCTAATGATAACATAATTGTTAATAATAGTCAATGATAAACATAGTTAATAAGCGATAATATCTATCACAGTGTATTAATATTTATTATCATAATATTTGTTATTGTTATCGTTATGATTATTCCAAGAAATCCGGGCCAGGCGCGGCGCCCAGTGTCCTTTTCCCTCCCGGCCTGCAAGGCGCGCTCGGAGCGCCTCTCAACTCCACCGCGCTCGGGGAGCCCAGAGTTGGGCCTGGGAGAGAAGGTCCGAAACAGGAACAAAAGACAGACAAAGGGACAAAGGACAGACACAGGGACAAAGGCCGAGGCCGCAAGGTCCGGGCGGGAGCGCACTGAGCCCCGCCTCTAAACTCCCGGGCTTCAGCCCCACGCGAGGGGAGGGAGAGGGCGCTGCTTCTAACTTAAGAGCTGATTGGTTGCCCGTGAACTAGAGTCGAGAATTTTAATTGGATGATTGTAATGATTGACCGCGCCTGTTCCTGGATAGGCTCATTGGCTGATTCCGACTTTGAGTGGAACCAGCAGCTTAATCCTGATTGGCTGTCCCGGAATCCCGCAGCGGCTGTGAGTGGTGGAAGGGGAAAGGTAATGATCGGTGGGCGGGCTCTCCTTTAGGTGGAGCGGAGACCGTGCCCCCGGGGCGCGGGCGGGTTAACCCTTCGGGGACTGACGCGGCGCTTCGGGCGCTTTCCCTCCGGGTCCCTCCCGGGGCTGCTTCTCCACCTGCCGCCCGAGGGTTTCCCCGGGCCTCAGTTTTTCCTCTGTTCCTAACTACGGAGCGCACTGAGTCCTTGTAGAGCTGGAGGCCGTGGTCCTCAGTTTCCCCGCGGGTTCCAGCAGCCCTGACCACCGTCCCCTCCCCACCCCGCACTCGCCAGGATGCAGCCCCACAGGCCGTGCGGCCACTAGGCAGGTCCGGGGCCTCAGTTTCCTCGGCCAGACGATCACGGCTCTCTGGCTTCCGTTTCCCCAAATGATCCGGGAGGATTGATCTTTTGTCCTGACTCGGTCTCCCGCGCGCGGCCTCAGTTTCCCCGCAAGTCCGCCGCAGGGGCCCTCCCCCTTCCCTCCGCCCTCCACCCCGCGGCGGCGGCCCCTGGAGGCGGGGCCGGGTCAGTGCGGGAAGAAAGCGCGGGCGCGGCCATGGCAGGTAGGTGGGCCGGGCGCGGGGCGCGGGGTGTCGGGGCGCGGTGGGGCCGGGCCTCGGGGTGCGGGGCCGCTGCAGCCTGTCGCTGCCCCTCCCCCTCATCCCGCAGCCCCGGAGCCGCTGTCCCCCGCGGGCGGCGCGGGCGAGGAGGCCCCGGATGAGGACGAGGACGAGGCGGAGGCCGAGGACCCCGAGCGGCCGGCGGGGGCCGGCGGGGGGCGCGGCGGCGGCGGCGGCGGCGGGGCCGGGCCGGGGGTCTGCGGCGGGCTGGGGGGCGCGCTCACCCGGCGCGCCGTCACGCTGCGGGTGCTGCTCAAAGACGCGCTGCTGGAGCCCGGCGCCGGGGTGCTGTCCATCTACTATCTGGTGAGCGTCCCCAGCCCATCCCTGCTCCTGCACGGACGGGGAAACTGAGGCCCAGGACTCCCTGGGCGTGCCCGACTGTGGGGGAGGGGAATCGGAGGCAGTAGCCCCCCCTGCGGAGTAGTATAGTGACATCTAGAATCTAGGAGGATTTTGCTGTCCTTGAATTACTGTAGATACTGCTGAGCTATGTATCCCTAGTCCTCTTAGTTTTTCTGTTTGTGCGTTTGATTGCCTTTTTTTGGCGGGGAGAGGAGGGGTGGTTGTGTCAGAACTGGGGCTTGAACTCAGGGCCTGATTGCTGTACCTTAACTTTTTCACTCAAGGATGGCCTCTACCACTTGAGCCCGTCACACCTCCGCTTCCAGCTTTTAGCTGGTTCTTTGGGGATAGGAGTCTCCTGGAATTTCCTGCCAGGGGCTGGCTTCAAACTGCTGATCCTCAGATCTCAGCCTCTTGAGTAGCTGGGATGACAGGCGTGAGCCACCAGCTCCTGGCTGCTTTTTTAAGACAGGATCTTGCCAGGTAGCCTATGTGTGGAAGTGACAGCCACAAACTACCATCCCTGGGCTCTCTAGGACCTGCTGGGAGCCAGGCTGTGTGTGGTTGTCATGGATACAGCAGTGATGGAGATTGACATTTCCCCTTACCTGTAGGCGCTCTCCCAGTTCAAAGGCAGAGGTTGGCCTGGGAGGGTTCACTGTAGTTAGTGGAGAGTGTCTGGCAAACTCCAGGGAGCACGGGTTTAGGAGGACTTCCATGAGGGACTCTGGTGGGGGCTGCTGCCTGCATTCAGCCAACCCGTTTGCTGCTACAGGGGAAGAAGTTCCTGGGGGACTTGCAGCCGGATGGGAGGATCGTGTGGCAAGAAACTGGGCAGGTTTTCAATTCCCCCAGTGCCTGGGCTACCCACTGCAAGAAGCTGGTCAACCCAGCCAAGAAGTCCGGCTGTGGCTGGGCCTCCGTCAAATACAAGGGCCAGAAACTGGACAAGTACAAGGCCACCTGGCTCCGACGACATCAGCTTCACATGGCGGTAGCTGCCGCGGATGAGGTAAAGTCCTTCCCAATGCGCTGTTGGGTGAGGAGGGTTCAGCTGGGTTAGAGAGAGGGCACCATCAGAGCCTGGAACAGAAAGAGAGGGAGCTGGTGCCTGAAAGACTCGGGGACAGACTGTGTTGGAGAAACAGTTAGGAAGGCCCTGTGTGGCAGGAGCAGAGGGATCAAGGAACCGAGAGACGGGGGAGAGGTAGGGAGGGGACAGGGTGGGCTGTGCAGGGCCTTGGGGCAGGACTTGGGGCTTTGACCCTGAGGGAGATGGGAGCCAGAAGAGGGTGGAAAGGGATTTCACACTCATGGGTGCCTCTGGTGGATATTGTGGGAAAACAGGCTGTGGGATGTGGGTAGGAGCTGGAGAACCCGCTAAAGCTATTGAAGTGGTCTTGCAAAGTTGAATCTGGCCGCTCTCAAGTGGTAGAGTGGTCAAGTTCTGGTTTGTTTGTTTGTTTTCCACAAATGGCTCTGATAGGATTTATCAATGAGCTGCCCTGGTGTGGACATTCCATGCCTCTGTTCACTCTCGCCCCCTAGTGGTCAGTGTAGATAATGACAACTACAGCTACAGTCTGCTGATGGGGAGGGAGGGAGGTGGGTGAGGGAAGGGGGCAGTCCATTGACAGGGTCACTCTCCCACACACATTCTGCCAGAGCCCCGCCAGCGAAGGGGAGGAGGAGGAGCTGCTGATGGAAGATGAGGATGAGGAGGTGGTGGCGGGGGTCTCAGTGGAGGATAAGAACCGGAGACCTCAGGGGAAGGGCCTCTCGGAGCCTGCACACCCAGGTGAGGGCAAGCAGGAGCGGGGAACCAGGATGGGGGACGAGACTGGGGTGGGGGGGGGTGTCGATCTTCTCTAGCACCCCATCACCAGATTTCGCTCTCTGCCTGAGTTCTGAAGCTCTGATGCTGGATTTGGCAACCTTCTCCCTTATTCCTGTATGGGTTCCTGAACTCACTTGATTGTGTGTGTGTGTGTGTGTGTGTGTGTGTGTGTGTGTGCACTTGATTGTGTGTGTGTGTGTGTGTGTGTGTGTGTGTGTGTGTGTGTGTGTGTGTGTGTGTGTGTGCCCAGCCTGGTGCTTGAACTCAGGGCCCTGCAGTCTCACTTGGCTTTACTTCTTTTTCCTTTTTTTACGCCAAGCTCCTGGGTCTTAGAACGCATGGACTTTGCACTGTCTCTTAAGATTTTTGTCACTCAAGGCTGGTGCTCTACCACTTGAGCCACAGCTCCACTTTTGTCTTTGTGGTTTATTGGAGATAAACATCTCATAGATTTTCCTGCCCTGGCTGGCTATGAACTGTGATCCTCAGATCTCAGCCTCCTGAATAGCTAGGATGACAGGCATGAGCCACCAGCGCTTGGCCTGATTTTTAAAATCTTTATATATTTTTAACAAATCTCACGTGTCTCTGCTAACTTTCTGCCTGATTTTCCAGCCTAGCGCTATTTGTTTTTTCTTGAGTTGCCCCTTGTTGTATACCCAGACTGGGTGCAGAGTGGTTGACATTTCTTCTCTCCCGTCTCCAGAGGCCATGCCCCCAGGGAAGCGGGTGGAGAGCAAGCTGCGGGTGCCCGTGCGCTACTGCATGCTGGGCAGTCGTGACTCTGCCAGGTCAGATGCCCCCCTGGAGCCGGCCCAACCCTCAGCTTACACAGAATCCTTGTTTGGTGTGGGGGAATGCCAGGGCAGAGGCTGGGTGGGCAGGTGAGGGAAAACATGGGCCTCCTGAGACCATGGGACCCTCCTGGCTACTCCAGGAACCCCCACACCCTGGTGGAAGTAACTTCCTTCGCAGCCATCAACAAGTTCCAGCCGTTCAACGTGGCCATTTCCAGCAACGTGCTCTTTCTGCTGGTGTGTGAGCAAGCTCCCACCTCATCCCTTAGTGAGCAGGGCCAGGGGCTCTGGGCTTGGACCAGCCAGGAGGGGAAGGGGTTCAAAATGTCCACTCGAAGACCAGTATTGTGTTTGCTGCTCATAAACAGTAGGTGCTCAATAAATGTTTGCTACTGGTAATCAGTGAGTGAGCAATAAATGTTTGCTTCTGTAATTAAGAAGTGGGGGAGTAGTGGGGCTACTCAGGAAGCTGAGATTTGAGGATCACCATTCAAATCCAGCCCAGGCAGGAAAGTCTGTAACATTCTTACCCCCAATAAACCAGAAGTGGCGCTGTGGCTGAGTGGTAGAGCGCCCGCCTTGAGCAAAAGAGCTCAGGAACAGCTCCCAGGCCCTGAGTTCAAGCCCCAAAACCAACACAAAAAAAATAAAGGGGTGGGGGGAGGTGGCTGGCTCAAGTTGGGGCAGGAGCCCCAGCCTCTGCCTTTCCTCCCAGGACTTCCACAGCCACCTGACACGGAGTGAGGTTGTGGGCTACCTCGGGGGCCGCTGGGACATCAACAACCAAAGTGAGTATTGGGGACCAGGTGGGTAGGGGGCATGGAGACTGAGGGTCACTATTTGGGGCTTCCCTGTCACCCCGCAGTGCTTACCGTGCTGAGAGCCTTCCCATGCAGGAGCCAGCTTGGGGACCCTGACACTGCGGCCAGCATTGAAGAGGAGGTGAGGGGATCACTGGGGGGGGGGGGGGGGGGGAGGAAGAGGGGGAGGGGAGGGGAGAGACACAGCTGTCCTGGCTGGTGCTGTGTGAACTCCTTCCACTCAGATCCTCAGGTTTTGTTTTGGTGCTAGGAGCCCTCTACGGAGCTGCACCCTAACCTTGCTGGGGAAGATTGCCTCCCCCACAAACAGACTTTTTCTCCTATCTGCAAACAGCTTTGTCCTTGTGTTAAATCAAGAGAATGTGGGGTACAGCAGGCCGAGTGCAGATTCTGAGCACTCTTGAACTCTGGGCCTGGCTCTGTCCCTGATTGTCTCCACTCAAGGCTAGCGCTCTACCGCTTCGGCCACAGCTCTACTTGCAGCCTTGTGCTGGTTCATTTGAGACAGGAGTCTCATCCTCAGATCTCAGGCTCCTGAGTAGCTGGGATGACAAGGCGTGAGCCACTGGCCTATTATGGTGGTCTAGTGAAGGTGTTCCCAGGGCCCAGGCTTGGCACATAGCAGGCCCTGGCCCCTGGTTGGCCACTGAGCTCCCTGGCTTAGCCTTGGCTGTGCCTCTGCCCGCAGATCTACCAGAGCCTGTTCCTGCGGGGGCTGTCGCTGGTGGGCTGGTACCACAGCCACCCGCACAGCCCGGCGCTGCCCACACTGCAGGACATCGACGCGCAGATGGAGTACCAGCTGCGGCTGCAGGGCTCCAGCAACGGCTTCCAGCCCTGCCTGGCCCTGCTCTGCTGTGAGGCCTGGGGTGGAGGGTATGGGGTGTGGGGAGCAGCCCAGACCAGCTTACCCAGCACACGCTGTCTCTTCCCCCAGCCCCGTACTATCCAGGCAACCCGGGCCCCGAGTCTAACATCTCTCCCTTCTGGGTGATGCCACCCCCCGAGGTAGGCTGGCCTCTGGGGGAGGCTGGGGGCCAGGGAGGGAGGTTGTGTGGGTGACAGACAAGCCAGGGCTGAGGTGGGGGCACCATTTCTCACCTGTTTGTCGCTTCTGTGAAGCGGGGACATGATGGCCACCCACTGAGCTTTCAGTGAGCGCTTCCTGAGCAGGGTCTTGTTCTATGCCCTCCCACTCGGGGGCAGAGGTCAGAAGTCAGTGGGGGCCTCTCTGACCACGCGTGTCCCTCCCAGCAAAGGCCCAGTGACTACGGCATCCCCATGGATGTGGAGATGGCTTATGTCCAGGACAGTTTCCTGACCAATGACATCCTGCATGAGATGGTAAGCTCCCTCCCAGCCCGTGCTGCCGTGTGTGTGTGTGTGTGTGTGTGTGTGTGTGTGTGTGTGTGTGTGTGTGTGTGTGTGTGTGAGTGTATTGGAAAAGTTTGCACTGAAATCCTAGCTACTTGGTAGCCTGAGATCTGAGGATGGAGGTTTGAAGCCAGCCCAGGCAAATAAATCCGACTCTTTATCTCTAAATAACCAGCCAAGAAGTGGGGTCAAGCATGGCTCACAGGGTAGAACCCCTGCTGTCAGCAAAAAAGCCAAGTGAAAGCACAAGGCTCTTCTTAATTCAAGCCCTGGTACTTTTTTTTCCAAGCAAAAAGTTGAACGTGGTCGGTCATGGAGCCATCCCTGCTACTCAGGAAGTGCAGATTAGGAGAGAGGAGAGGCCAGCCAGGCAAAGTATCAGTGAGATTCCTCAACCTACAAGCAGGGCATGATAGTATATGCCTATCATCCACCCATACATCCATACTATGTGAGAAGTGTAAACAGGAATACCAAAGTCCAGGCTTGCTGCAGCAAAAAGAAAAAGAAAGGCCTGGGGGTGTGGCTCAAGTGGTAGCGCGTCTGCCTTGCAAGTACGAGGCCCTGAGTTCAGAGCCTGCGCAAACCGAAGTGGGAGGTGCTCATCGCCTGCCTCTGCCCTGTCGCCAGTGCCGCTGGTGTTAGGAGCCAGGCTCTGGGCTGTGCTGGCTTAGGCAGGCGTGAGTGGCGGTCCAGCCTGGTGCCTGTCCCTCCCTCTGCTGGGTCTGGACTCTCCTTCGTGGTGCCAGGTTGGGAGGTGGAGGGAGGAAGGTGGGAGGCCCACTGGAGAGAGGCAGGTGCATGACCTGTCTGCAGATGCTGCTGGTGGAGTTCTACAAGGGCGCCCCGGACCTCGTGAGCTTCCAGGAGCCCTGGAGCCAGGAGCACAGCTACCTGGACAAGCTCAAGGTGAGATGGTGCAGAGAAGGCCGGTGCTCTGCTTCAAGGCCCTGAGACCCCTGGGTGGCTGGACATACCACGGGGGACGCGGCTGCCTGCCCCCAAGGTGAGCCCAGGCTGGGGCTTCTCCAGCCTGTGGGCTTCCTTCCCACCACCTTCTCAGGGCAGCAGGGCAAGGTCCAGCCTATAAAATGCAATGCAGGCACCCCGGGAGGACCTGGGGACACCGCCTGAGCAGCCTGCCCTGGGGTTTCAGATCTCCCTGGCCAGCAGGACGCCCAAGGACCAGGGTGTGGGCCACGTGCTGGAGCAGGTCTGCGGTATCCTCAAGCAGGCCGGCTGCCCCTCGTCCCTGTGACTCAGGCTTGGATAATAAAGCACAAGCAGCCGGCAGCCATGAGCAACGCTTTGGTGTGGGTTGTGCGGGCAGGCCAGCAGCTCCCCACTCCCCTGGCACCCAGTGAACCCCCTGGGGCTTAAATCCACACCCTCATCTGGCCACAGGCTGAGGCCCCCCACCCCCCCACCCCATGCTCCAAGATGGGGCTGTGTCAGCTGTGTGTGTGTGTGGTAGGGGAGAGGACACGGAGGCTGTAGAAAGACGTTTAATACTTTGTAAAAATGAGGAGTACATGGCTTTGCCTGGACCCGGAGCAAGTTGCACTTCCTGTGGTCAGGGCGCCCCCCCAGAGGGGCCGGGCTGGGGGGGACTGCAAACCTGGACCCCGGCCCCCACTCAGCCAGCGCCTGGGTTCAGTGAGGGAGGAAAGCTGGGCTGTGGCCCGGAGGGGGGTTCACGCTGGCAGCTGTCTATGGAGGTGATGCAGGGGTCACCGCACAGCGATGGGGTGGGGCGGCTCAGGCAGGGGACATTCTCTTCGGAAGCCTGTGCCTGGTCCCATGGGAGGGGTGCTCAGCTGGTGGCGGCGGCTTGTGCCAGAGAAACCCCTCATGTGATCCACCGAGGCCCGGGCTCAGGCTGGCAGGCGGGCACTGCTGGAGGGGTGAGGACCCCGGCACCCAGCAAGTACCTGGGATGTGTGCAAGATGGGGGTGAGGTGCCCCGAGCCGCCTGGAGTGAGTGTGTGGAGGGGCAAGGCCCATCGCCAGCAACGGGCTGGAGGGGATTACACTGGGGTGTGGAATGGCCAGGGGGCCACACCCAGTTAGGCTGCGGGCTGGGCCTTGTGAATCAGGACAGTGGACCTGGGGAAGGGGCTGGAGGGTCCCCTTGGAGTTGCCGCCCGTGGAGGGGCAAGAGGAACGTTAGTGTTTCTAGAGCACCTTAGTGTTAGCCCCACGTGGAAGGAGCTCCACACACCGCCTGCTGCTGCTGAGCCACGGTGCCCACGTAAACAGGAGCTCACCTGCCCAGAGGTGGGAGCTGAGCCGCCTCGTGGAATGCGATGGCCCCGGGTGGGGCCGGTGGGGCCGGGCGCGTCACTGAGGCAGGGGCACGAGCACCTCCACGTAGCTGAGCGGGAAGAAGCCTGACTGGCCGTGCAGCATGCCCTCGTACCAGTTCTCGTCGATCTGGTTGGTGAGCGTGATGAGGTCGCCCTCACGGAAGCCCAGCTCGCCGTCGTTTTCAGGCTCGAAGTCATACAGGGCCTTGCAGCTCGGCTGGTCCAGGGGCGCTGCGGGATGGGGTGCCAGGTGCTTTGCTCTAAAGTCAGCCCCCCCTCCCCCAGCCCCATGCTATGGCCCTGGCCGCCCCACCCCTTCCTCCAGCGCTCTCTGGAGTCATCGCAAGAGGCCACTCACGCATGCTCCTGCTAGGCGTCTGGATGGGCTTCTCGGAGGATCGGAAAGACGATGAAACTCCTGGAGGACAAAGGGGAGTGAGCCTGGCCCAGGACCACAGTGCAGAGGGCGGGTGCCCCCCCCATGGCTCCCAGAGGTGGCCCGCATCACCTGTGGTCTTGGGCGCGGCGCAGGGGAGGCCCCCGTTGGACTGCTCAGGCTCCCCTAGGTCAAAGGACTCCCGGGGCCTGGGCTTGTACTCACGCCTGGGGCGCGAGGAGGCGTCCCGCACCCTGTGGGGAGTCGAGTGCTGAGCACTGGCCAAGGCACAGCCACACCCACCGATGCCTGCCCGGGACGGGACCGGTCTGGGGTGGGGAGGGCCTCCGTAGCATGACGTGAGGCACAGGGCACCCACAGGTCCTGGCTGAACCTCAACGAAGGCTCTGGACCAGTGCCCCAGTGTCAGGCACCTCCAGAGGCTGTCCACTGCCCTGCCCGCCCCCCCCCCCCCCCCCCCCCCCGTGCACCCACACGCCACCATGCCCTCACAGGGCTGGCCCGGCCAGGCAGCAGGAAGGGAAGGCACAGAGGAGTCCTGGGCCAGTGGCTGGGGCGACCCCGGCTGAGTCACTGCCTGAGGGTGACCTCTGGTTTCCTCTGTGGTCTCCATGGGATGGGGGTGGAGAGGGAGGATGAATCGAGCAGGCCTTGCTACCTTCAGGGGTCCCTCAACAGGCCCAGGGCAGAGACAGCATTGGATTCACACCAGGGCTGCCGAGGCCGAGTGCAGTGCCTGCTTCCACAGGCAGAGGGCGCAGGCAGCCTGGGAGCCTCTGCGTGCATGGTGGTGGTAGGGGGTGTGTGTCAGGGCTTCAGGAGCAGTGGAGGGGCTTACCGGCGCTTCAGCTTGCTGGCCAGCTCTTCAAGGATCTGCACAGCCTGCCGGTGGTAGTCCAGCTGTGCATCCACCAGTGCTGAGAGCTGGCTCACCTGCTCGATCTGCGGGAGCAGCAAGGCTGAGGCCACCCCGCACAGCCACCCTCTGGAGGTCCAGAGTGCCCCCCTCCCCCCCCCCCCCCCCCCCCCCCCGTGGCTAAGCTGCTGCCCTACGCACGTCAGTCTCCAGGAGGTTGTGCATGCTGGTCTCTGCCACCTCCTTGGACTCCTCGAACTTCTCCAGAGCCTGGCGCAGCTCCTCGTCTGGGATCTTGCCCTGACGCTTCTTCTTGTAGTCAAAGTCCAGCCGGCGGCCCTCCAGCTTCTTCAGGTGGTGCTGTGGGCAGCGGGGCAAAGTCAGCGAGCGGCACCAGGTGCCAGGCCCGGTCACCCTGCACTAGTGGCCTGGGGTGGGGGACAGGGCTGCTGCAGGCGGCACCTGGATCTCCTTCAGGTCCTTGTCGCACAGGTTCTGCAGCGGGTCGATGAAGTTCTGCTTGACCTCTATGTCCAGGGAGTCCTTCACCTCAGCCAGGCGCTTCATGGACTCTCCTGCGTCCAGCAGGGCATCTCCTGCGGGGAGGGGAGGCTGTCACGGGGGGCTGCCACCCCTGGCGGCGCCAGTGCTCCACAGCCCAACATGGAGCAGGTGGGATTGGAAGCCAAGACCCCTCCTGCCTCCCACGTGGCCTTCATGGCACTGGGCTGAGTGATGCCCGGCTGCGCAGCCCCCTTTGTCCCCACATGGGAGGTGGTTCCTGAGCCCTGTCCTAGGGCAGTGCCTGGCAGACAGCAGCGTCCATCTGCACTGGGACACGTGGACCCTGTGTCCCCCAGGCCCCCCGGCCCTGGGATGCCCTGCTCTCACCGAAGTTGGACTCGCCGCCCAGCTCCTTCCCGTGGCGGATCATACACTCGCCCAGCAGCCCCTCTGACTGTGGGTAGCCAGGGTTCTTCACTTGGCCCCGGATCTTGGACACCGTGTTGAGCATCGTCAGCTTGGCCCGGGAGGCTGCGAGGGGAAATGGCGGGTCACAGGGCACCGTGCACTGATCGCCACGTGAGCAGGGTGACACCCACCTCCCAGGGAGGACGGCAGAGGCTCCTTCCCGTCCCTGTCTCCCCTGGTCAAGGTGGGTGGGGAGTGTGTGCCCCAGCGACTGCAGGCCAGCAGAGGAAGTGGTGCTGCCCACACACCAGCACAGCCTCTGGGGCTGGCTCAGCCAGGCCTCCAGCCTGCCCACAGCAGGCACTGCAGCTACAGCCCACTCATCCCCTTCCAGAAGATTCCTGGGTGACAGGAGGGCAGACCTGGGGGTGGGGGGTGGTCGGGCAGGCTGGCCCCCTACCTGGGTTGGGCTGCAGGTACTCGATGGTTCTGACCAGCACTTCTGTCACCGCCTTGCTGGTGACATCCACCTTCTGTGGAGAGAAGCAGAAGGTGGTGGGGGCTCCGGGCCTGGCGCCTCTCCCCGCCCCCCGCCCACACTAGACAACATGGGGGAGGGATGGGCTGTCACTCCTGGAGTCCACTGATGGAGCTTGAGCAACCCCCCACACCACTGGGGTCTGTTGGCACGTCCACGGATGCCAACTGTGGGCGTGGTGTCTCACAGCTCCGCTGCCTCACCTTCTCCATCTCTTTGAAGTCATCGTCCAGCTTGGTCCCCTCAGCCCCGCCGACCTTCTCGCTGACCAGCTTGAGACAGAAGAGAAAGCTCATGAGCCACCCAGAGGAGGCGCGGGTGCCTTCCAACCATATCCAAGTGAAAACCAGCAGTGCGGGTGGGGCCGGGCGGTGCAGTGACACCCAAGCCAGGGACCCAACAAAGGCCCCTGGCGTGGGCCACACAGCCCCAGCGCTACTGAGGGACCAACATTAAAAATCCAACTTGCAGCTGGGCACCTGTGGCTCATGGCTGAGATCTGAGGTTGGCAGTTTCAGGGCAGCCCACAGAGGCATCTCTAAGGCACTGTGCTGGGTGTGGTGCGGTACTGTCATCCAGAAACCACGTGGGGCCAACAAGCAGCCAGCCACTGAATGGCAACCAGGCAGGTGCGAGACAGTGGCTTAAAAATAACCACTGCAGCCGGGCGATGGTGGCTCATGCCTGTAATCCTAGCTACTCAGGAGGCTGAGATCTGAGGATCGCGGTTCAAAGCCAGCCCGGGCAGGAGAGACCGTGAGACTCCTATCTCCAATAAACCACCAGAAAACTGGAAGTGGTGCTGTAGCTCAAGTGGTAGAGCGCTCGCCTTGAGCTGAAGAGCTGAGGGACAGCGCCCAGGCCCAGAGTTCAAGCCCCACGACCAACCAAAAAACACTGCAGGGGCTGGGAAGGTGGCTCAGTGGTTACCAGTACTAAGTGCTTGCCTTGCATGCATGAGGCCCTGGGTTTGATTCCTCAGCACCACATAAGCAGAAAAAGCCGGAAGTGGCGCTATAGCTCAAGGGGTACAGAGCTAGCCTTGAGCTGAAGAGCTGAGGGACAGTGCCCAGGCCCAGAGTTCAGGCCCCATGACTGACAAAAAACAAAACACTGCAGAAAGGATCGGAGGGGTGGCTCAGCAGTAGAGCCCCTGCCTGGTTACTTAAAGGCTAAGTGCAGACCCTGATACTGAAAGAGGGAAAGCAGCGCATTGACACTTAGGCTGGACCACAGTGCAGAGGCTAGCACAGCCTCCCAGGTGCAGAGCAGGGGCCCGTTCCTAACCACACGGTTGCAGAGGGCCTTCTTCCTGTGTCTCAATGGTGACCAGCTGTGACTCTTCTAAAATACGCCAG